TTTTATGTTACTGTTGTACATTGTATTGTATTGTAAAGCGCTCAGAGCCTGTGTACTTAAATCAGGGTTGAGCGCTATAGAAATGTCATTTATTATTATTATTATTATTATTATTAAGTAAAAATAGTCCTGAAACAAGATGTATTAGTATTAGACAAAATGGTCCGTAAATTTTCAGTACCGCAGGCGCATTTCCATGGGGGTCCGAAAGATCAGAATTTTTTTGGTAGCCAGTTGTCACCTGTGAAGAGAAATCTGTTTGTGGAATTGTCCGTGTCAGAGCATGTGGACAAATTGCTCGTAACCTTGGTGCTTCCTTGTCCTATGTCCTTTTTTAATAACAGTGAAAACAGTTCATATATCAAACATCTATCGTCCTTATTTCTCCTCCTTTTTTGTGTGTGGGTATGTTACTTTGTTGTAAAACTTCTATTCTTCGGCATTTATATGACCTTATTGTGTTGCAAGTGCCGTAATACTCATACTAAAACTAAAACAGTTTATAGCAAAGAGTGAGCTTATGAAGAAGTCACATTTTCAATGTTTAAAATATGGAGATAGGACAAGAAAGTGCTGAGGTCGTGTGCAGAATGATTAGAAAGCTCTGTGTTCTAGTCAGTGACGAACAACAACTCTGTCCATGAGGGCTTGGAATGAAAGAGAGAGACTGAGAACTCTATACCTGGCAATGTCTGCTCCCAACAAGACTCTTGATGACGATGATTCTTGAACAGAAAACATATAACGAATTCTCTGTCTCTGCGATCATTTTGTATCATTTTAGTAAAATACCTTATAATAATGTTTTCAACTTGATGAATGATTTCAAAATACCTGATATGCAGTCTTTAAATTTTCCCCCCCATTTTCTGGCCTCTCTCTGATTTTCAGCATCCACCAAATATATTGTGTTTATTTCTCCCTCCCCTCTCTCTCATTCTCTGTATCTACTAGAAATGAAAAAACCTGATCCTGCTGTTATATTGTGTTCATTTCCCCCTCCCCTCTCTCTCTCTCTCTCTCTCTCTCTGATTCCCAGTATCTACTAGAAATGAAAAGCCTGATCCTGTTCTTATATTGTGTTCATTTCCCCCTCCCCTCTCTCTCTCTCTCTCTCTCTCTCTCTCTCTGATTCCCAGTATCTACTAGAAATGAAAAAAACCTGATCCTGTTCTTATATTGTGTTCATACTTCCCTCTCTCTCTCTTTCTCAGTATCTACTAGAAATGAAAAGCCTGATCCTGCCACCAGAGCATATCTTGAAGCGGGGCGACAGTGAAGCCATCGCGTACTCATTTTTCCACCTGCACCATTGGAAGCGGGTGGAGGGAGCCCTCAACTTGTTACACTGTACCTGGGAAGGCAGTAAGTGCTGTGTCTACCTGTGAGAACTTCTTTGTTTCAGTGAAAGTTTGTGGGTGGTTGGCGGGTGGAGGGAGCCCTCAACTTCAGGGATGGGGATTGTCAGAAAATTTTCAGAATTCCAAATTATTATTTTATACCTCCGAATTAAAAAAAAAAATTGCCAATGATAACTC